GCTTTAAAATGACATAATCATATTCTGTTTTTTCCCCACTTGAAGTGTGACTCCAGGCTCTTCAACATTATATCCCTTTCGCTTGAACTAAAGGAGTAGTTTATAGCAGAAATAGTCTGTTATCTTTGCTGTAGACCAGTTCCGGGAGGGGGGGGGGAGAGGGAAAGGGGAAAGGGGAAAGGGGAGGGAGACTTTCTGCCAATGGGCCACACAGCTGTTTCTGTGACAGCGACAGAATGTTCATCATTAGGATTCCTGGTTTCTATTTCTGGCTCTCTGAGAAGTGGAAAGGCAGAGTGGCAAAGTGGATGATACTTAGCTTTGCCAGGCTCTGCCTGAAGTGACCTTGTGCAACCTGTCACTTTACGTTATTTGTAAAATGGGTGAATGAAAGCTGCCTACCTCCTGAAGAGGGGTGTGAGGGCTTTGGGCTTAGGAAGGGTTGTGAATTATTAACAGCAGGCAGTAGAAGAGCAGACTTGAGCTCCTGACTTCTTGGCTCACAGCCGACTGTGTAAGGACCAGGGTGTGGGCAACCTGGCCTAGTGGTTGGATTTGGGAGCCAAGAACTGGAGCCAAGGGTCAAAGCAAGATTTGGAAGCCAGGAAACGGAGTCAAGGGTCAAAATCAGAGTTGGGAGCCAGGAGTCAAGGGTACGGCAAAGAAGCAGGGACCTGGAGCAAGGCAGAACTGGGGGCAGAGGAGGATCTGGGATAAGGAAGGCTGGAATAGGCTGAGGGGAGGGAGCCAGGGAACAGACAGGAGTCAGTGTCTTAAGTGGCAGGTATCCACCTAGTTGCTCAGACAACTTCCTGTGCCTCCTTCTAGCTTTACTAGTGCATTTGAACTAATGGGTGGGGCCAGATGTCTCCCCCAATCAGGAGCTTTGTGGATGGAGCCCTTGGTGAGCTAGAGCTGCACTAGCCCTCTTCTCCACTGGTTCCTGTGAGCTGCTGGGTGGTGGCTGCAGTCTAAGCACTGCCTGAGGGCCAGGGTTCAATGATCCTTCACACACTGCACTTTACCTCAAGAATTTAATAGGGGGACTCTATCAATCTGCTCACTCACCCATTTATGGATTAGTGCTTTACAAGATATGTGGGCAGGCATGACAGGGCTGCCAAATGTATGTGTGTCATGGGAGATGTATGATACTCTGCAAGTCTGGGGTCCATGAAGCAGACTTTAGCCTAGGGAGTATGCATCTGCAAGACCGTTGTGGCTTCCTTCAGGAACTCCCAGTAGCAGAAACAACAAGTAAGTAAAGAGAACCCTGATCTGATACCTAAGCATCAAGGGAGAAATTCCTGGCCCAAATGAAATCAGTGGATAGACTCCTGTTGGCTTCAACAGGGCCAGGATTTCACTCTGCCTATCTGAAGGAGGGAGAATGGAATTCAAATACAGATGTAGCACCAAATTTCAGGGCTGTCCCTTATCTCTATCCTGGCCTGAACCAAAATCCTGGCTCCAAACACCCCTGAACTCTGGGGTATTTGAAATCTGGACCCAGATCTGAATTTTGTAACTTGAGCCTTCCCTAGCAATTCTATAGGAAAAATAAAACACAAAGGTTCCTGTATATTACTAGAATAATATTTTTTCCTTCTTATTAATCTCAGATTTTTAAACTGTCAGCAAATTAGGTAATGTATCCTTCTCTTTCAGCAAGAAAAGCATAATAGCCAGAAAAAGAAAATATATATACCCCTGAAGAAGGTTATCTATGCAGGAAGTCTCTAATGTAGAACACATGTGTTTAAATCTCTTTTGATCTGGTTAATCCCTAGAGGAATTTCTAAATTATTGTTAATCATTACATTAAATAATACAATGTACTGTGTTATTGTTTTGTTCCCCTTTTTAAAGCAGAGACTTGAATAATCTTGAAACTAAAACTCATAGGCTCCATTGGTATTGCTCCTGTTAGTTTACCAGTGTGAAAACCGTTTTTTCCCCCCACACTTATATTCTTTCTGCCCTCCCTCCCTGCTCCCCACCCCACAATGAAAATCCCAGCTATAATTTGATGAGAATATATTTTAGGACCATTCCTGCAAAAAGATTATATATATACTTAATCATCTGCACATGACTGATTCCATTGTAGTTAATGGGCCTTAGTGACAATCAAGGCTATGTGATAATACATTAAGCAAAAAAGGCTTCATAAAATTAAGAAATAAAACTTAATTGTAAATCAGCTATTTTCATGCAATGCTATGGTTGTGCAATTAAAATAAATAAATCCCCAGGAAATCAAAAGTTAATGAACGACATCAGCTGGTGTGAATGAGGATGACTTCACTGGGATCAGTGGAGCTGAGGATCTAGCCCAAGGTTGCTACAGCAAAATTAATTTACATTGCATGCTCTCTGTGTTGCTGTATGTCTATGTAGTTAATTCATGGTTAGGGGTTGTTTAAGAGAGGGTTCTGTGTGTATATACATTATCTCATGCTTTATAGACAGTGGTGATGTCCACGTGAAAATTTGTACAACTATTTAGTAAATAGCATTTATCATGCACCTTTGAACACTTCTCCTGCACTCTGCCCATTAATCCACCTCCACAGGGGCTACATCTAATATCCCAAACTTCTGATCAACTTCAAACAACGGTGTTTATTTTTAAAAGGATAACTTCCAGAACAACTTTTTCCTTCTTCATATCAGCAGTGAAATTTCTTCCACAAAGGTACACCCAGGTTTTAGGGCCAGGCCTGGCAATATCTAGTTCTAGGCCAATGACAGATTTAAGGTATACTATTTTGTGATTTTTACGGGCTAGAAACCAGAGATATTTTTCCCTAAAAGTCCTGAAACTTCTTTTACCAGAAATACAAAACATTTGGCCCAGATCTTTAAAGGTACAGAGGTGTTGATCTGCTCTTTAGAGGTCTAAATCCACCATTTAAGCATAACTGACGTTTTGGAACTCCTATCCAAAGTCATTTAAAGGACATCATCTCCTTGCACTTATTTATTTAATACTGCTAAAGAGCACCAGGCAAAAGTCCCATTTCCAGAAGTGTCCAAAGAGCCCAGCATTTAGGAGCCATCAGCAGTTCCATTAAGAAATGATCCACTCCCACTGAAGGGCAGAAATCAAACTGATGGGGGAAATCTGGACTGTGGAGTGGAAAGCAACATTCCAAAGTAAGAGCTCCTGAGGCATCAGTCCGGTCTGTTTCCAGGATCGGGGACTAAAACAAATGACATTGCAGGTCAGTGGAGGGAAGCTGGAATAAAAACAGCAGAGAATGATCAGAAGTCCATGGCTCTGAAATTTATTACATGGCTATCCCATCTATATGTGGTTGTGTCTATGGTACACATATGTGTGTGCGTGAGCCATGAATATTTATGGGCAGATTCCAAGCCTCAGCAAGATGTTATTAGTGTTGGTTACAGAGAATGTTTGTGAATCAAATAATTTAGAACAACCAGTCTTTTTGAGGTTTACCGCAGTGTAAAATGGGAAGGTTGATTTTCAGAGAGTTAACCCTTGTTTAGAGAAATGTTAGAGCACATGAGAGCTAAATAGTTTGGAAAGGAAATAATAGAATGCCCTATTCATCTAATTTGGAAGTTTCTTCCAAAACAAGGAGCAGAGTGCTTTGATAGCTGCTTTTTGCTCAGAAATTGGTGAGGAGCGTAGCTGAACTCTGTCAAAGATAGGGTAATTAACAAACAACAGGAACACTATAAATGCTCAGAGCTCTCAGCCCCGTGACTCAATGAGAGTGGGGGGCCCTCAACATTCCATAGGATCATGTTCGGCAGGCTAGATTTTCTCTGTCCCTTGAATAGGTGCATAGGGAGGAGAGACTCCTACCTTCTTCTTGTACACCCCATGCACGAGCCAGGGATAGTCACATTCCTTGCTCCTGAGAGTACAGGGTGTTCAGTGGTACCCTTTGCACAAGAAGAGAGGTACAATGATTGACCATAGACCCATCTACCATCGCACTAACCAAGTTAAAAATGTACTAGGTGCATGGTGGAGAACAGGTTACATCTTATGGATGGTGCAGACTGCAATTTCATGTGCAACAGAGAGGTTGGAGGAACTGTGCTTTCCTGGGTACATTTCCTCCCCAATCTTGATTGGGTCCTCTAGGCCAGTGGTTTTCAAACTTTTTTTTCTGGGGACCCAGTTGAAGAAAATTCTTGATGCCTGTGACCCAACGGAGCTGGGGATGATGGGCTTGGGGTGTGGGAGGAGCTCAGGGCTGGGGCAGAGGGTTGGGGTGTGAGAGGGGATCAGGGATCTGGGCTGGGCGTGCAGGCTCTGGGATGGGGCCAGGGATGAGGGGTTTGGAGTGCAGGAACGGGGACCGGGTTTGGGGGGGATCAGGGCTGGGGCAGGGGATTGGGGCACAAGGTGGGGCTGGGAATGAGAGGTTCAGGGTGTGGGAGGGGGCTCTGGGCTGGTGCAGGGGGTTGGTGTGCAGGCTCTGGAATGGGGCCAGGGGTGCAGGGTTGGGGCACAGGCTTACCTCAGGCAGCTCCCAGTCAGCGGCACAGTGGGGGTGCTAAGGCAGGCTGCCTGTCCTGGCACCACGGATCACACTGTGCCCCAGAAGTGGCCAGCAGCAGGTCTGGCTCCTAGGCGGAGGTGTGCAAGCAGCACCACGTGGCTCTCACCCGCAGGCACCCCGTGCCCCAGCTCATTTCTCCTGTGATCAAAGAACTGGACTGGTACGACCAATACTCTTACATTTTAGATGAGTGTATCTAAGCATCCCTTTCATTTACAACTGCCTACCTCCTACACCTGAATGTCAAGTAGGTTGGCCTACAAGATCAGCTGATAGCTGGAACTAAAAAAAAATCCCTGAATGTTCATTTAAATTCAGAAACTGATTTCTAGTCAACCATGTTTATTTTCTTCAAACATCAGAGTCATTCTTTACCCATGAAAAACAAATTCATAATCTCTTCTGTTTCAGAGGAAAAGGGAAAAACCTGCAGAACGCCACAGGGGGGAGCTGTGGAGGGGGAGTTGTAGCTGTTCATCATGACCCTCTGCAATTAGTCTAA